GGGTTTAGGGTTTAGGGTTTGGGGTTTAGGGTTTTGGGTTTTGGGTTTCGGGTTTAGGGAAGCGGGCAGAGAGTCAGGGCTGGTCGACGGCCCGATCTTGAAAACACTCAGGAAGGATTCGGAGTTTTGTGTAACCCGAAACAGATGCACTGCGCTGTACAGGCCCTAACCCAAGCCAACCACCACACACGAGACAGCCTTCTGAATCCTGAACTGTGAACTGGGCCGTGAAACCCTGCAGAAAGCACGGTGTTGGATTTCAGGTTTTCCAGGGCTCAACCCATGTTGGAGATTTACCTCTCTATTCGTTCATGCCCTCGAAGAACAGGGCTCTGGCTTTCACACACGCTGAGGCATGGAATGTTTGACTTAGGACCATGAAGGTCACGAGCCGCCGGAGCCCGCAGTCTTCGCCGACGCAGGCGAGTATGTGGGGCAGCAGGTGGCCGCAGTTCACCGTTACATCCCCAATGCCACGGGGCTAAGAGTCAGGTGGCTTGCCCAGCACCGGAGTCCACCACACAGCACTTCAGTGAATGCATGACCAAAGCACAAAGATGACCAAGAACCGACATGGAAGTTATCATGATATCCAAGGAACGAAGCCAGGCACTTGGGTCGGTTCTGGGCTTTCAGGGTATATGATGTCACAAGAGTGCTGAGCAGGTGCGTTGGTCCCTCTGCGCGTGCCAGCAAGAAGCCGCTTAGGAAAAGTGGTACGCACACACACACACACACACACAGACAGACACACACACACACACACACACACACACACACACACACACACACACACACACACACACACACACACACACACACACACACACACACACACACACACACACACACACACACACACACACACACACACACACACAACACACACCCACACCCACACCCACCAACCCACCCGCCGCACCCACGCACGCACACACCCTATCACACAATCACACCCACAGGCCTACCAAAGTAAGCCGGGGAGCACCAGCTTCCTGGCTCTAACATGCACAACTCTAAGAGGAGCGTGGGCGTGCAGAAAGCTCTGCAAACGAATTAAACAGGCAATGCCTTGAGCCGGGGTGCGGGCCCGGGCCTCCTGTTCTGGGGTTCAGGATTCTGTTCCCAGCGTTCAGGAGGGCTTGAGGGCCTAGGGGGGGGGTACTTCGCGGAAGTAGGCATCAACACCCGAAACCTTAACGCTGTTGCCTAGATCAGCCGCCCTGTTCTGCTTGTTGTGGCTTTTTTCCGCCTGTCAGATCTTCGCAACCATGTTGAGAGGAAGTTCGCCGTGTGATGGGATTTTGGACAGGGATATAGGCTTGGCTCCGGACACACTTGAAGGGTAGAGATGTTAAGATATCTTGTTTTGTTTTGTTTGGGGGGGGGGGGGGGGGGGGTTGAGCTGGATGCAATAGGTTGAATCTCTACAATGTTTCTATATTTGTCGTCGGGAAAACCTCGGTTCCCTTGGATTTCAAAGCGAAGCCTTCTATTTCTGCATATTGTAAGTTTTTTTCTCAATCGTTTAAGAGGACAACCTGTCCATTCCCGTGAATTTCATAGGACGAAAACCTCATTTGTGTCTCCTGTGTGTCATGTTTTTCTCTATCATTCTAGCGGAAAACCTCTTGGACTGGAAGAACCTGGTCAATTGACAACCTTTGTTCATGTCTTCCATTCTAACATTCAAAGGCCTCGTGTTTCCTCCAGAGGTTGATAGGAAACCTTTGCTAGCTGTTCTGTATTTGCTGAAATATCCATATTGCAGAAATTTTTGTTGCCCTTACATTTCACAGGGCAAGCCTCTTTTTCCTGCCCCGCGTCGTGGTCTTACACTGTTGGGGGTGCCCCCCCCCCCCCCCCCCCCCCCCCGCCCCCCCCCAGAAACCGTAACAAACAACTGCATGTATCGTCTCTAAGCTCTGACCGCAAAAGAGAGAATCTCGCAACAATACTCTGTCTTGCATTGTCATAGCCACGACATGTGCATATTGGAAATACAGGAAAGTTGTACCCTGCTGGTCCGATTGTCCGAGTGCTCCCACGGCTTTGCATACAACATCAAGCTCGAAACCTTAAACCGGAAACCCGAAAGGAGCTTAGAGTTTGAAGTTCAGGGTTCGGTGCTAAACCCTTCGGGTTTAGCGGTTTCACCCTCAACAATTTCGGAATCAACCTCAAACCCAACACGCTAGCATTTAGGTCTGTCAGTTCAGGATTCAATCGCAAAGAAGAAAAAAGCTGCCGACATCAGGCCGACCAGCACATGGGAGGTTGATTTGAGCCATTTTTGCGCCGTCGCGGTGGTCCGAAATATCTCGTACCCGCGCGTATGACATGTGGACTTTGGCATAGGCAAGCGCAACATTTGCAGCCTCCTTTACAAAGCTTTCAACAGCGCACTGCTGGCACTGTGCTACATAATTTAATTCAATGCTACGCAATATGTGGGTTTACGAAAATAGGGGACCCCCAATATAGATCCCCAAATAGTAGGATTCCCTTGTCATTAATATGAACCCCAATAAGGTTCCCCTAATTTCGGAAACCCCCATAGGGGCCGCATGAAACCTGTGCTACGTCATGATGATCCTCGTCACCAGCACGTCTGTACAGTGAGCACTCCAAAAAGTGTCATTGCCAGCAGGTCCGGGCTGGCCAATGACATGCGATAGCACGAATTCAGGCCGCCACCACAATGTTGCATCAGCCTAGAAGCTTACGTACATCCGCTCAGCCATCAGAAGCCTCTGATGGCAAAAGCCTTGCACCCAAAATCCTTTCGGCAAGGCTCTGCAGTCCCAGAGGAGGGCCAACGGACTCATTGCACCCGCAGCTGACAAATCATGCTGATGCTCATGCAGTCACCTGGCCGCGTTTTGATCTCATGGTCTTTTTGACTTCTGGTCTCCTTGTCGTTAGAGGGCAAGTACGGGTGTATGTCATTAGTGTTGGCGATATTGGGGTGTGGTTGCGCAGCAAGAACCAGGATTGAAGGGGCTTTTGCAGTCGTGGGCGCAGGCTTCGGGCTTGAAGGAACTCAGCTTCACAGCACTTGGTAGATCATTGCTCTGCCTGAAACCGGACTTTGGCATTCACAGCAGTCTGTGGGGGCCTTCGTCGGGGAGGCCATATCGTGGGGTGGAGAAAACGGTTGTCTTTCAGAGTTGGAGTTTTTAGCTCAGAATATGGGTTTCTTCGATATTGGGGGGCCGGGCGGTATCTGTTGGGGCATGTTTCGGGTGCAGGTTTAGGGGTTTGTTTGGTGGCATCATGAGCTACTCTAGATGCAATTTCGGGGCGTGTTTCGGGGGCATGTTTGCGGGCTATGTTTTTTTCGCGCGCGCGCGCGCGCAACCCATATGCCCTTCTTCAACACGGGACCCCACAAAACCACATACCCATGTGTTACGATCTTGGGCTGATCTTGGGCTCAGAGCTGTGCGGTTGCTTTAAAGACATTCGCTGTGGGGTTCTTGCTTATCGGGCGCAGGGTTTGAGGGTCTGCGGTCGTTTTAACCAAGGGTTTGTGTTTTTAGGACTGGCGTTTAGGGTTGAAGGCAGGTCTGGTGTTCGGTTCTTGTTTGTCTGGAAAGTGTTCGTTTTCTTTTTGTGCCTGTCATGACTTCGGCTTTTGCGGGCTTGAGCTTTCAGGAGGGGCTCTAAATTGTTGAGGGCTTGAGGGTTTCATTCAGGTCTCCGGCTTTGAAGGGTTCTTTCCGCAAGAATGGAGAAGAGGGAATGGGCCCGCTAAAGAACGCGCTGCTGACAGCTAGTCTCCGTGAACTGGGTCATGTCCAGCAAATGTCCATGTCCCACTGCTGTAGCTAGGAATGCACTTGCTGCAGGAATGCAAACGCTTGCTCAGATGATTCCGCACACATCCCTTTCCGTCACATGCTGCGCTGCTTTGCTTGCTCTTCACAGGCTGCTGCAGTGAAGATGGTCAGTTCTGTCAACACAGCTCTAGAAACTTGCATGTTCCAAACTTGCAAAGCCCCGTGGACTTCCCAGCATGTCACCCTGCATGCAACATGCAACAGCTTGCGTCAGCTTGCACACTTCTGCCACTAAACCCCTCGAAGCATCGGAGCCCAGCGCCCCTAAGAGCTGAAACTGCAACCACCCTTCACATGGCGCACCTTGCGTCGGGCAGTGCCTCCCCTGACCTGGAGATGCAAGAGTTTACAGTCGGTTACAGTTGCAGTTGTAGAGTTGTACTCCCCTTACAATCTTAATAAGAACAAAACGTTTAATATCCTCTTGGGCTTTATATAAATACAAAAATAATTCCCAAGCGGGATATAGTAGAGTTCCAGAGGTGCTTGAGGCTAAAAGGTTTGGTGATTGGAAGAGTGGAGGCTGAAATCAGGCTTGGGGATCAAAGGGGGCCACGGGCGGGGACTCAACTCCTGAAGGCTCAAAATAGCAGCATCGGGACATGAAGCGGAAGACGAGAGAAGCACTTCTGCTTAGCTTGCGACGCCTGTGCTGAGGCCACATCATTGAACCGAACCCGAGGGCCCCCAAGAACCATGAAAACAAGCCCTGAAGGTCTTCTGCAAGCCAAAGACAAACCCTGCATGACGCCTTGTGGGTTGAACCCAAGAGAGCAGCCCCCCTGGCACGCCGCATAGAAGTAGCCTTAGTTCGGGCTTGGGGCGCGGCGTGGTGGTGTGTTGCGTTGCGCGTTGAACTGCAAGCTGGTTTGGGCCGGGAGCTGGGTCCAAGAGAGGTGAAGACGCCGTATTTCTGGCGAAGCACTGAGCCTTAAGATCGCCTGTGACATCCTTTTGTCGTGAAGGGTAGTTGGGGTGTGTGAAGCTGGATGTTTTTGAATGCTCTTCTGCAGATGCTGTCATCTTCAAGCTCGTTTCCTTATGGTGGCAGAAGACCACACCAGACCTGACACAACAGTCTGAAGGCATTCGAATCTTGCACCGAACACCTAAAGTTGGCATTTCTTTTCTGCCTTCGAGCAACATCCCTGGGGCCAGTCAGCGTAGCTCACCTGCCCAAGGGGATCTTTCAGATGCAGATGGCTAACTTGGCTGGCATCCTAAAGCCCCGGGCCCCAGGATCCTGAGCCCGCATCCCCACCCCCTCGCAGGCCCAAGTTCGGCGTTGTGAACTCCTTACTTGGGTAAAATACCAAGCCCAAACGAGCAAATAAGCCAGCCCTGTCCAAAACTGAATTCAGGCTGCGCCGTGGCCCTTATATTAATGCACTGCAGCCCTCTGCCTCGGAGACGACGTCTGGCCAACCGCCCCACATGCCTTGGCGGGCTTCTGGTGTGCTGGTCCATGGTTAGACAAGGACCGACGGAGAATTGTGCTAGTGCTGCGGATGGGGGCTCACACCGGGCTGTGGGCCACTACGTGGCTGATGCTTTCATTATGCTTTCACACGCCCACACGAAGCAAATGCTCCAGATTCCAAGAAACATATTTTGAAAAAACATGAGCCTAAGACAATGGAGGGGTTGCAATCCAAAGCGCATCCCTTCCCAGGGCGAAGAGTCTCAGCAGCTTCCACGCAGTGGGCCTGTGTGCTACTTCGACCATGGGGTTCGTGCATCTCTGAGCTACGTTGTCAGTGGGCCTGCAGCGACGCTTCTGAGGTTCTTCCCAGTACCCCCAACATCCGGACCATCCGAAGCACTACTAAGCCGCCAAAAGTTCCTCGACCCTCACCGCTGCTCCCGGGCTTCCAGGAAAACACAAGCTGGCCGTGTCCAAGAGATGCGTCGGGGTTACGTGGGGCATCGTGAGAAGTTTGGCAGCAGCTCCGTCACACCTATTAAATCAATTGTTGCAGCAATGCGAAGCAGCCTGCAAACCTCTTCTGCCGTTCCCGCTGATCGCAACAAGGACGAACCCAAACACACTGGCGGCTCCTACTGATTGTTTAATCCTGTAATTCTAGCCGGGTCGAAACAAGCCGCAACAGGCCTGAAACTCCCAAAGCATCCCCTGCAATTGGCTGCTGAGACTGTTTTGAACGACACAGGTTTGGAGAGAGGATACAGTAAGAGTCCCCCTGGCATCCTGAGACGAGCCGCTGTGTTGGTGGCCACTGGCTCGAACGGGAATTCGCATGCCTTGTCCTGGTCATGACAGCAGAGCAAAGAGGGCATTGGGTTGAGCATGCGGTTGAAGGTTTCGACGGTCATTAACTTTGTTTCTACCTACCATCTGCCAGCTCTCGCGTTTCTGTCCGGCCCCAAACTGGAGTTCGCAACAGCTTCAATGTTGCCAGGAGTTTGAGCTGCTAGGCGGTTGGTTTAAGCTTTCAAAAGAACTACCCCAAGGAAAGACAGAAGTGCCGGACCGCCGTGACCGTCAATTTCCTCATCAGGATTCCGCGTTTCAAGAAGTGGGCAGGTTCAGGATCGAACTTGACACACACGCACACACGCGCAGACGCGCGCACGCGCACACACGCACACGTGCACACGCACACGTGCACCTACACCTACACGTATACCTACACCTACGCATACACTCACACCCACACCCACACCTACCTACACCCCTCTCTTCTCTCCTCGTTTGGGAGGGCATAGGCCCGTAATCCAGATGAGTCGAGGGAGATCTTCAGCCAGTCCTCACGTCAGGAGGTATGTGGCTCAGGGCGTGTCTGGAGTCGAGTAGGCATTGTGGGGTTGAGGGGATAGCATGTCGTGCTCCTCTTCCTCCTCCTAATCACTCCTACTCCGCCCTCCTCCCCCTGCTGCCCCCTCCCTCCCCTCCTCCCCTCCTGGCCCTGCTCTGCAGCTCCTCTTGCACATATCAACTTGCTCTGGGCCAAATCTCGCACATCATTTTCAAGGATTCAACAAAAAACAATTCAGTTCTGTTCCCTCGAAGAACACAGCTTGCTCGCCACGAATGCTGCTGAGTACTTCGAGCATCATGACCCTGAAGAAGGCGCAGTTAACATGACGATATACGGCCCCTCTTAGCTAAGCACGCACATGCATGCACAAGCTTGGTGTTCCCCTCACTTCAGGAAAGCCTAGACAGACCCCGAACACAACCACCTGAGCCAAGCTAGACTTGGAGATAGAGAAAGGAATCGGTATGAGTTTAACGTTAAGGTCTCCTTGCAGCAGAACTACGTAGAACCACACGAAACCAACGCCGCGAGCCGCTTGCTCGTCTTGGAACCCAGCCAACGTGTACGCAACGTTTGCGGAGCATGGAATTTGACGGCAGTGAATGGCTTAGCATCAACATCCAATATGTCTAAGTGAGAACCATCTATACCAAAAAAACAAAAGCTGAAATCATTCTGCCGCTCCCACATCCTCAACTCTTCCTCTACGCTCTAAAGCCTGGACTGGAACCGCGAACACCGCCTCTGAAAACACATCTCCAAAAACCACACTTGGCACACTTCACAAACGGGTTGACGCCTGGACCTTGTCAGACGATTGCTGGCAGGACCACCTTGGGTGCCCCCCAAGCACGGTTCAGGTCTCAGGGTTTAGGATGGTTCAGGGTTTAGACTATTTGCATGATAGGGCTGCAAACCAATACAGGGAAAATGTCCGAATTTCGAGGAACTGGACAGCCCTTTGCCATACAAAGCATGCGCAGACTTAATACACACGGTGATCTGACCATTGAAGCGTCGAAAATAGCATGGCGCATCAAGTGTTGGAGCCTCAACAAGGACTTTTTCTTCCGCTCATGTCGAACATTCTGAATACAAGCTATGCTCGTGGCATGTCCACGTTCTTTTTCGCGAAACTGGCCCAAAACCTCCAAACTTTGGACTTTAGACTGCCTCCGGGCCACAAATGGATCTTCGCCCCGTTGAAAGCGCGGTTGGCGTCGATCACCAGGCACATCCGTGTAGGGGCGTTTTGGGACTGGATCCTGACACAGAGGCTGCAGCTCTAGGCCATCTGAGGGGCTGCAGAAGCCCTAGCCCAGGTCGTGCACGTTCCCAAAACCCCTATCTGAGCCCTGAACCCTCCATAAAACTACTACACACTTGCTGCCCTTTGCAGCCGAAACTCTGCCCAACATCGTTGAAGTACCAGGTCTGATGCCTCGGACTCCGGTGCTAGTACACAAACTATTCCTTAAAAGAACCATAAAACCCTGCATCTTCACCGATCTTCGCCGACATGCTTGTTCAGCAACCCCCTGGGACAAAGCAGTAAACGGATAAGACGAAGTCTAAGGTAAGAGGGGGCCCCGCAACCCAAAAACCTTGAAAACACCACTGAGAGGCCTAGGCATGCTATTGTGGCACCAAATTCAAGGTTAGCAGGCGGTGCGGATCAAGACGGAAGCTGCAATATGCTGCAACTCCAAACTCTGAACTGCGACGCGTCTGCCCAGAAATGCACTTTTCCTGACTGGTTTTGCATCAGCTTCTTGAAGCTTTGCGTCTACAGACTTTGAGGACTTCTATGTTGAGGATCGGGGCTTTAGGTAGAGGAGATGGAGGGGACTTGCATAAATTTGAGATCATACGCACCTGGACCTGTATCCGAATGCCAAAGCCGAAACACCACACAGCCCTCCCTGCATGACGAAGTCGCTTGTTGCCTTCGTGGCACTTCCACAACCTTTGCGTAAGATGACGGGAGTTGTCCAGAGAATGTTGACTTTGCCGTTAGAACTAGATTGAGAAGCAGCTACCATCAGTCTACGAAAGGGTAGGCCATTCGGGGACCTCTTGAGCTCCCTGCCATCCGACCCATCCATGCATCCAAAGAACATGATCAGGTTTCCATGGCGGAACAAAGAGGGGGGGCACTGTAACTGCACCACTTCAACAGGACGGCGAGACTCAATGCTAAGCTCGTGTTTCTGCGCCGGACCAATCACTAGGTGAGAAGACGCGGGACGTTAGAATCATCACTCAATGAGGGTGAGTCCCAGTTTCAAAACTCAATCCGTTCGGAGGATGATCGGAATGTGAGATGACAGGATGAAGCTTTATTTGTTAAATTCAATTTTGCGGTCAGGAGGGAGAGGGAGGAGGGAGGGAGGGAGGGAGAGGAGGGAGGGATAGAGAGAGAGAGAGAGAGCAGGTCAGCACCCAATCAAAATCTGAGCAGCGAGGGGTGCAGTGGCAGCCGCATGAATTGTCCTGCTGATCCACTTCATGTCCTCCAATGATGTGAGTGGGGCCTCTGGTTCATCTGATTCATCTACCTGAGCCTCTGGGTCCCCTGATCTGACCCCCCCCCCCCCCACAGAGATGATTCGCAACACTGATTCGGACCCCCCTCTGATCTACCTACAGCTTTCGGATTCACACCACCACCAGTGCCCTGGCAAAGAACGACCTCGGCAGAATGTTCATGCCTCTCAAGATGAAAAAGAGACTCCTCGAGGCTACAGCTGGCGCCAGAGTTCGGGACATTTGAGCAAGACCGAACAACATGTGCACAATCTTCCGGTTGCGAGAGAAGACTGACACTCTCTGAAAAGTGTAAGTTTGCAAGATTTCACAAACAGCCAGCAAAAGTACGGGAGTTTTGCTGTTCGCGATTTCCAAAGTCTATCAAATCCGGAAAATCGTCTGTTCTCAAGATTTCTGGAGTCTACCAAAAACCAATACTGCCAATACTTGTTTGTCCGTAAGTTGGCCACAGAAGAGGCCACGGAAATGTCCAATCCAATCCAAAACATGTTGGCCGAGGATCTGAATCTTCGCTCCATCCTCATACTTGTCGCCGTCGATCACAACACAGTAATCTGGACTCCTGGGCGCTGCTTGATGCAGCGATACGGCGCCGGGCCCATAGTTAAACCCAACAGGCTTGAGAACTTTAGCCATGCCCCTTAGGCTACCGACACAAGCTCAAGAGTACTGGTTCAAACCAGGTAAAGGCGCTGCCGGCATAAGGGAAAAGACGCTTCCAAAGACTCCGCGTCTGGCGCTGCTCCGCAAGTGACTTTAACATCTCTCTGAGTAGAAGAACCCACAGCTCGAAACTTTCGGCCCGGGGATGCCATCCGGAAGGATTTTTCAAAGGGACGGCCTGCAAAACCTCGGCCATGCCCTCAAAATGCCCCTCCAGCGCTGGCAGAAGGATTTCGCATACGCTCCCGAGCTGTGCTCCTGACTTATCAAGGCTAGTACTTCGTGTTCGTGGCAGTGTCGGTGTGTTCTCCATCGCGGCTGGGCGGATTGTTACTTGCACCCCCGAGTGCAATTCACTGCGGCGAAGGGCAGCGGCTCCTTCCGTCTCATGTGGCAATTCCCAGCCACGTGACCTCGGCAAGGAACCTGCTGCAAGCAGGTGCAGCAGTCGCGGTTGTCCCTTGCCTTCCGGTGCCCTTTGTGTGGCAGCCTACACACTGATGTTCCTCGCACCTACCAGGAGCCATAGTGGCTGAAAAGCAATACCTTGGACGCCACGCTTACTGATGGCGAAGAAGTACGAGTACTACCTTTCAACAGGAACCGGAACTATCGTGGATGCGGCGCAGGAGAATGAAGCCGGTAGGAAGAGGCTTCGATGAAACCCAGCGAAGTACCAGCCTTTGTATCACGTGCACCTTGCCCAAGCCTGGCAGCCTACGGATCGACTACGCCACCCGGCGCAGAAACGGAGTGTGTGAAGTCCTTAGCCTAGAAACGATGCAAGATAGCCACAAGCTCGAGAGAAGCAACGCCAAGATTGAGATTCTCTACGGTTGATCGAAGGCTCTGAGTCATCCTGATTCGCCCTGCTTCATCAAGGAAGAACTTTTGACCGCCGCTGTGCCACTTCTGATCACAATGCCAGAGATGCACCTTCACACCTCACTTGAGCGTACACACTTCAAAGTTCCCCCACCAGTTTCAGCAGCACTCTTCATCTTTGTTAGTTACAGGCTGTGCACTGAGGAAGCATCTCACAACGAAGCACAAGTACATCATTGAAAGACCATCTTGCCTAAGCACCTCAAGCGACATTTCTACAATGCGATGACGTCCTACAAACCACATCTGCAACCTGCGGTCGTCTTGCATATGGGTTGTGGCTTCAGGCACTCAGGTCTTAGCGTTTTGGACGAAGCCTAGACAAACTCGTGCCAAGGCAAACCGAGACACCGTTGCCGATGCGGTTTCCGTCGGTCGAGAGGCAGAAGGACAAGTCGGGCATCCTCAAGGA